TTTGGTTGGGCATCCTTGCACTTTTTTTGGGTAACAAAAAATAATAAAAAGCAATAATTAGTCAGAAAGGACCTTCAATTTTCTTCTATTTCCATTCATATGTATCTTCTATTCTTTCAGAGATATAATAATGAGAAGTTGGGTTGTTTATTTTGAATGGATTTTTTTTTCATGAAATCATGAGTTGTTTGAAAATCATTTTTACTAAAATTGTGGTATTTTCTAGAATCCATCAAAATCTCTTAAACCAAGTTAATTGTAGATGGAATACGATAATTTTTAATTTTGGTGGAAAAAATAAACTTGAAAATTTCATTCAGATGGAAAAAAGCATTGTATGCGTCTTTTATTTGCATGATAGCTTTTACACGCAAAAGTACTCATTTTAAAACTATTTTGAGCACTATAAAAACCCATTTTCATATCTAGTTTAATATTGTTCCTAGAACACTATAAAACAGCGATTTATTAAGATTTTAATTTATATAATTTTGTTTATTCCATTATTTTCGTTAAAATGTATATTTTATATTGAATTATAATTGTATGTTTGAGACGCAATCACTGACATCTAGTGATGTGCCAAGTCGAATCAAGTGATTCGAATCATTCGAATCAAGCCTTTAACGACTTGATTCGAATCAGATTTTACTTGATTCGAATCAACTCGTATCAAGCCGCGAAATATTTACTGTGATAAAACATGTGTGAACACAAAGTTTCATAAATATAAAAAAAATGTTTTAATTTAATTCAATATTATAATAATATAAATAATAATAATAATAAATATAAAAAATAATAATAATAAATATAAAAAATAAATCTTGAAATAAATCATGCGAGTCACCCGCCTTTAATACGCTTAAATGTATCACCCGACTCCAATTTATATGACTTTAACCGCATTCAAGTCGATATATGAATTCATCCGAGTTCCTATGACTCAAACCGACTTATCCCGACTTCAAGTCGTTATGAATTGATTCGAGTTCCTATGACTCAAACCGACTTATCCCGACTTCAAGTCGGTATGAATTTATCCGAGTTCCTAAGACTCAAACCGACTTATTTCGACTTCAAGTCGCTATGAATTCATACGAGTTTATATGACTCAAACCGAATCATCCCGAGTTCAAGCGGCTTGAACCATATGAGTTCGAAACATGTGTCTGTGTCTTAGCGTATCGACTTATCGACTTGCGTGTTTGTTTATTTTTGACTAAGCGCTGAGAGCCAATTTTTCATGAAATACAAAAAACTCATTTAGATAATAATAAGTACGCGTTTTAGATTTTAAATGTTATAACATTTATCAACTACACAACGAGTTTCATACACATACAAAATTATCATATTTTAATTATGTAAGTAATGGCAAATTCACACAAATGAAATATTATTAATCTTTACAGTAGTGGATTGATTTTTAAGTCATTCATAAGACGTTAGATTCAGCCCCCTGTTTAGATTAGATCTAAACAATCAATAATATAAACATGCATTCGTTCAACGTAAGATTAAGAATATTGTTTTATATGCTTTAGTGAAAGAGAAGTGCTTGGTTATATTTTACTGTAAATTCATTTGAAAATTTATTTGACCGTCTATTAAATATTATTTAATAATTTTTGTAATATATTTAATCGATAGTAATTTGTGTTTACAATCGTTACTTTATGAGTCAGTGTGTGTTTGCTTTTCCCGATTTTCACATAGATTTTGTTTTTACTGGCTAATTATAATTATTAAAAATGCCTCCCACTAAATCAAGCGTCGCTTGGCAGTTTTTCACAATTAATGCTGATAATAATAAACTGGTGTGTAAATTGTGCTCATTAAGCTATTGTAAATCTGGAAGTACAACCACTCTCGTTAATCATTTAAAAAACAAACATATTATTGAATATAGTGAAGCTGTAGCAGCTAATCCAGTGACATTTCAAAATGTGAGATCTGCTGTTAATGTGGTTAATCTTATAACGCAACCTGTAGTGCCAAATGTCTCACAACCAATTTTGAGTACTGAGGCTCCTGCAAAACGTTTGAAACAAATGCGGCTTACTATTCCTGGTAAAATTAATCAAAAAGCTGGCGATGATGCTTTAATGAACATGATTCTTTTAGATATGCAACCGATACAGATAGTGGAAAATGATGGATTTAAAAAGTATTCGCGAATTCTAAATTCAGATTATGTATTACCTTCCAGAAAAGTACTCACGCGTATGTTAGAGGAAAAATATGAAATGCATAGTGCGGAAGCAAAGGCAAAACTTACATTTGTCGAAAACATTGCAATTACGACTGATATATGGAGTAGCGATAGCCAGAAAAGTTTTCTTAGCGCATCTGCTCATTTTATTAAAGATAGCAAATTAAATTCATTAGTCATAGCAACAATAGAACTCAGAGAAAATCACACGTCACAATCACAATCTGTGTTAATTGAATGGCAAATCTTTGATAAAGTTGATATTGTTGTGACTGATAATGCGCCGAATATGAAGAAAGCTATTACTTTATTTTGAATAAAAAAATTTATCGTGCGTAGCTCACACATTAAATTTAGTTGTTAAAAATTGTTTAGATAAAGACAAAAAATTGTGAACTTCTTATCGCAATCACAAAACCTAGAGCGATTGTAGCACATTTTAAACATAGTGTGAAATCGTCAGGTATTCTGCAAGGATTACAAAAGCAAATGAACTTAGATGTTATTACTTTATCACAAGATATACCAACTAGATGGAATTCTACTTTTTATATGTTCGAAAAGTTTTGAGGTTAAAGTTGCACTATGTGCAGCTTTGCCTTTAATAGATTCTCCTCCACCAAACCTGAGTTTTGCTGAGTGGGCTATTTTAGAAGATTGTGTGAAAATTCTACAGCCACTGGAAATTGCAACCAAAACATTGTCAGGTGAATTTTATCCCACCTTATCCAGTGTAATACCTATAATTCAAGGGGTAAAAAATTCTATAAATAAAAGAACGCCAACAACTAATGCCAGGAAGAATTTGCAACAAATCTTGTTGAGAAATATAAGTCAAAGATTTGGTTATTTAGAAAATGATGAAATTACAGCAAAAGCAACAATTCTTGACTCCAGATATAAGAAAAAAGCCTTTGGATTAGAGAGTTGTGCGGATAAAGCAATGGCTTTGGTTTTAGATGAAGTAAAAGAAATGACTACGGCAGAACATATTGAAGAGGCCGAAAATAATGAACCATTATCAGTACCGTCAAAGCGTCAAACCCTAATATAGATGATGAAATCTGGGAAAATTTTGATATGCGTGTGGTTCAGACAATAGAACAAACTTCAATCTCTCTTCCAGAAAGATTATTGCAAGAATATATAAATTTGCCATATTTGAATAGAAAGCAAGATCCTGTTCAGTTTTGGGAGGAAAGAAAAAACATATATCCTGCTTTATATAAAATGGCGAAAAAATATTTATGTATACCGGCAACATCCGTTCCGTCAGAGCGCTTATTTTCCAAGGCTGGCATGTTGACTAATCAACGACGGAATAGGTTACAACCAAATAAATTAAATCAACTATTATTCCTTAATTCTTATTATTCAGAAAAATATTTGTAGTCATTAGTTATATTTGTAGCAAGTTTATTATTATATATATTAATATAAATGTATTAATCTCTGCACTTTTTGGAATTAATTGCTTACTAAATTAATAAATTCACTTATAAAATTATTAAAGTGATATTATTTCTTGTCTTAAATTATAATTGTTCATATATGAACTTGATTCGAATTGATTCGAATCATGATTCGAATCAGGTTTTTTTCTGATTCGAATCACTCGAATCAGGAAATTTTCGAGTCGGCACATCACTACTGACATCCAACCGTGAGACGCATGCGCAGACTGCATCGCCTGTCAGACGCATGTTGACTCTATCTTATTATATTATTTTAATTTTTAGCACGTCTCAGCTGCTTTTCGGCAATAACAATGTAAACATTACATTTTTCTTATTCTTAATAATAAATATATTATATTTTAATATTGTCTTAGCCTATAAGTGAATAGAAATGTTTGGCAAATGACAGACTTCACTTGTTTTTAATGTCAAACTATGCCTTAAATATTTTCAAGGTCAAACAATGATGAGCGGTTTTTGTAATTTTTTCCATGTATTTACAATCTAACTATATTTCTATGAATCTAAAAATTCTAGAAAATTTGCCGAACAAACTTCAGGAAGATTCATGATAATCCGTATTATAGTTTAGGAGGATTAACCATTCATACATTGTTACAGAAGAATTTTATATATAAGATATATATATATATATATATATATATATATAATAAAAATGTTTCTTGGGCATCCATCCAGTAATTAAAAAACAGTTTTAATGAAAAATGTTTTTATTTAGAGAACATACGTTTCGGGTCTTGATTTGACCCATTTTCAGTGCTACAATTAAATAATTCAGGGTTACAAATTAAAACAATATAAAAAATACATATTTAACAGACAAAAATAAGTAAAACAATGTATATGAAAAGTATATATGAAAAACAACAATAAAATAAACAAATGTAAAGAAACTCACCATACAAATAAACTTTGAAAAATAACACAAAAACACACAAAATTGCACGAAAAAAATAAATATGAAATAAAAAATTGATGAAACGTCGAGTTATGAAAATTTAAAAAATTGTAAAATTAAAATAAATGATAAAAGGTTGTCATATATCTCCCTTCCGCCTTTTTGTCTTTTGAATTTCGCGGCTATGTACAAAGCGCTACAGAGCTCGTATCTGGCAATACTATACATAATTTAAAAGGTCTTGACATAACCTACAAAACGACGCTATGCATGATTAGTTTGGATATTGCGTTCAACAGTTATAGACGTGTAAACATGGAGTTCACTAACGCCGAAATTCGCGCTATTTTAAAGTTTTCCTTCGTTAAAGGCAAATCCGCTAGAGAAACGTTCCGTGAGATTAATGGTGTTTTGGGGGATGGTACTCTATCACTTCGAACCGCGGAGGAATGGTTTCGACGATTCAGAGCCGGTGAAAACGACACCATGGATAAGCCAGCCGGCGGAAGACCTGTGACGACAAATACCGATCAAATCATGGAATACATCGAGTTAGACCGGCATGTGGCATCTCGTGACATCGCCCAGGAGATGGGAGTTAGTCACCAAACCATTTTAAACCATCTGCAGAAGGCTGGATACAAAAAAAAGCTTGATGTTTGGGTGCCGCATGATTTGACGCAAAAAAACCTTCTGGACCGAATCAACGCCTGCGATATGCTGCTGAAACGGAACGAACTCGACCCATTCTTGAAGCGGATGGTGACTGGCGACGAAAAATGGATATCATACGACAATATCAAGCGAAAACGGTCGTGGTCGAAGGCCGGTGAATCGTCCCAAACAGTGGCCAAGCCGGGATTGATGGCCAGGGAGGTTTTGCTGTGTGTTTGGTGGGATTGGAAGGGAATCATCCACTATGAGCTGCTCCCATATGGCCAGATGCTAAATTCTACCATCTACTGCGAACAACTGGACCGCTTGAAGCAGGCGATCGACCAGAAGCGTCCAGAATTGGCCAACGGGAAGGGTGTAGTGTTTCACCAGGACAACGCCAGACCACACACTTCGTTGATGACTCGTCAGAAGCTACGGGAGCTCGGATGGGAGGTTTTATCGCATCTACCATATAGCCCGGACATAGCGCCAAGTGATTACCACCTGTTCCTGTCCATGGCGAATGCCCTTGGTGGTGTAAAGTTGAACTCAAAAGAGGCTTGTGAAAAGTGGCTGTCCGAGTTCTTCGCAAATAAGGAGGGGGGCATCTCTACGAGGGAGGTATTATGAAGTTGCCGTCTAGATGGAAACAGATTATCGAACAAAACGGCGCATATTTGAACTAAATCCGATCACTGTAACACTTTTTATAAAGCATTGAATAAAGAGCAAAAAAGCGAAAGGGAGATATTTGACAACCTTATATATTTTATTATAAAAAAGCTTATTCCAAATAATTCCAAATAAAACGAACATGTTGTCAGTTTGGAAAATGTGTTACGTGTGTGTGCGTACACATTTTACGAGAGTAAAATGTGTGCTTACGTGCTTGCGGAAAATAGTGGAAACTGTATCGTCATTGGATGAGAGAACGGGATAGAGAGAATTTTAGTGGTTTCATATTGCGAAGATTTTCTCAGCGATCATGCGCAGTAGGAACATAGAAAAAATATACATCCATAATCAACGGTTAAACACACTATGTGGATCAAAATGAAAATATAAAAAACATAGGGTGCGTTCGACTTGGACGCTTACGCGCTGTGAGCGCTCACGCTTATAAGCACGAATTTTTAGCGTTCGACTTGGCCGATAAGCGCTCAGAACCGATAACTAAATTCCGTTCGTTTTGGATACTGTGAGCGTCAATAAGCATCAAAATGGCGGCAGCTGTCTGTCAAATTATAAATAATTTATTAGAAATTATCAATGATGAGTCTGATGATAGTGATGAGTTTGATATGATTGAAGATAGTGATAATGATATGGAATGGAAGTATTGCGAAGCTCATTTGAATTTATCTTTAAAAAAAGAAACTATACCAAGAATAAAAAACTTTGTGGAAGAGGTTATACCAGCATTTTCAGATAATGAATTTAAATCTCATTTTAGGTAAATATTTATTTCAATTTGAGGATTTAGTTAACAAAAAATTATCTTAACCCTTCAGTTTAATTACATGCAAATAATATGTTTTTAAATTTTAGACTGTTCCGATCAACATTTGATTTTGTTCGTGAAAAAATTGAACCATCGTTGATCAGAAAAACCCCAGGATGTGAAATCACCAGACAAACAATTATTTATCGCTTTATGGAAAATGGCTACCCCAGATTCGTATCCGTATAATTAAAAAATCTTACTTATATTTTGAATAACTATAATTATTAAAAATTAAATATTAACCTAATACATTGTTCTTTAAGCTCAATTTGCCAAAGGTTTGGTGTCAGTTTTGCAACAGCGTGGTGGAGTGTGCGAAGGGTTACATTAGCTCTAGTCGAAATAGCTCCAAATTGTATTATCTGGCCTGAAAATGAAAAGCTTGCTGAAATTTCTACTGAATTTGAAGCTACAAGCGGCTTTCCCAATGTTATCGGTGCAATTGACGGAACACATATAAATATACCTGCACCTCGAGAGCATCCGGAATGTTATGTCAACAGAAAAAGACATCATTCAATTCAATTACAAGTAAGTAAGCAGTCATGTGAATTAACAACATTTGTAAATATTCATTTTTACTGTTTGTTCAAAAATAGGCTATTTGTGATGCTCGATGTAAATTTATTCATTGTTATGCTGGAATAGTTGGTTCTGTACATGACGCACGGGTATTACGTCTGTCAGAAGTGAATGATTACCTCAACGATGAACATAAATTCCCGAACGAATCTCATTTAGTCGGCGATGCAGCTTACCCTCTTCACAAACATTTACTT